ACAAAATTTCAAGTCTTAGGTCACCTTAGGTCAGGAGTAATTGATGTCAAACTGTTCGAGCAAAAATGAGCAAAAAAACATGAAATTCTTAAACGCTCACAAAAGCTACAGTTAACGAGCAATTCCAAAGTTCTTTGTGTGGTCGTGTATGTAGAGAAACGACGGCGCTACAAAACTGCAACCTCTACAACTACAAGGTGGGCAGTGATATCCGAACAAAAACTAATGAAGCACAAAACTTGAATTATTACTATTAGTATTAGTGAGCAGTGAAAGTTCCATTGGGAAAGCCGGCTGTGATGAGGTACATTTTTTTTTTGCGCCCTGCTCTGCATGCAAAGCAGATGAACGTGAATGCTGCATAAAGAGAAAAGTCATTTATTACTCAAAGCTTTAATGCCTATGGGACAAAACTAACGTTGTTTTTCCTTCAATGATTCCGGTTTGGAGGATGGTTAAACACGGCCATTGTCATATTGGGACAAAAATTTTAGATGTCTGGCCTTGGCGTCGATGAAAAAGTGAAAATAATCGTGAATAAATGGGTCGTTTCTGAGAAAGAACACAGAATATAAAAGGGGGTCCAAAAGGGGGTCACCTTCTTTTTGCGTCAAAGGAGGGGCCATGGCCCATTGCCCCCCTCCCCCTGTATCCACCCTTGGTTCGGAGAGGTAATCCCGTCCCCCGCCGGTTTCTACGCCGACGCCTGTACCGATATGTCAGTGATTGCGAAAAGACGGAAGAGACAAGACAAGAGACGGTCCCACCGACTATCCGATCGGTATCGGGTCAAATCTGGAGTTCCTGCTGCACTGAACGTAAAATGGTTGGATGGAACCCAAAATTGAAAATTAATAATTATCTTAACGCCAGCAACGTTGATTGATGACGAGAATCTGATTAACGATGGCTATAGAATCTGAATAGCGAATTGATTGAAAATGGGCTCCAAAATAAATTTGAAAGGGGGAAATTCCCCCTTCCCTCCCTAGCCGTTCAGACACGATTTGAAAGGGGGAGCGGAATTTTCGAAGGGGGGAAATTCCCCTCTTCCCCCCCCCTTTAAAAGTAACCCTGGGCGTGGGCGAACGGTCGGAAATGGAAGTGGGCGGGGGCGGGGCGGGACGGGGGCTTACGGCTGTCAGCGAACTAAAGAAAGCAGTCCATCGTCACTGTCCGGCTAAAACGCCGAGGTCCCTCAGTCCACTAGCCGTCAGGCGCCGCTGCCATGTTGTTGCTAGCCCCCAAGTGATGCACTTTGAGATTGGCATGCAGCACTGGCATCCATCTCCTAACACGCCATTGGTTGTGCCGATGGCTGATGAAAAGCTCCCAAGCTCGTGCGTTTGTTGTCACGAGAGCTGCCAACACCAGATACAAGTAAGACATTCGAAAGTGCTTTGTTTGATGTCATAATGGCGTTGTATAATGGAACATTATGTACCAAAGGCACCATCTCATCCACTACAGTGACGCTGTCCTTCAAAGGAATGTATCTCTTTGGCGCGGGTGAATGGCGAATGACGTTCTAGATATACAGAGGCAGCCTCAGATGGCCGGCCGGGCTCAGAGCCTCTCTGACAAGATTGGGATCAGGCTAGTTAACAATTCATGTTATGTTCGGTCCATCGACGTAGTTTGTTCCAAGACTTGACGCTCAGGAAGGCTGTGAGCATTTCATTGATGTAGGGAAATTAAACCAGCATGATCAGATGCCAGTCACCAGCCAGGATATCAAAGCTCGCTGCATTATCCACTGTGAAAAAGCGAATTAAAGCAACAGCTTCTCTTGAATTGAATTGATGTCCAACATATGCTTTACGCTGCATCTTTTGCATGAGCCACGATCACTAAATACCAATGGCGACGACATATTTAACAAGCTCAAAAATCAAGAATTAAATAGATGTCTGCGGCCTAATTATAATGAGGCCGCAGACATCTATATTATATAACTGAAAAGAAACAGTCAAACATTTTGGTATTGTAAAGAGCATCTCCGTCTTGATTGTGTCAATGTCGGTTGTCGAGCCACATACAGTGAACATTGAGCAGTGAACTACAATATCATTCAATAAACACGGCGAGAATCGAGCACGGTCCGTATCCATCGACTTTCCGGCGTAATGTTTATTAAAGGAAGTGCACGCTGTAGGTACTACGCTGTGCCATATTGTGTTGGCCCCATTAGCCCCTTTAATTGACCCAAATTGAAAATGTTTACATCCTGAAACAGACAACATGACACCGTATCAAAGGCATCATCAACGTAATAGAGTAACTTGATAGTCCAGAGTTCGGCGGCCCCAAACATGGAACTTTGCCGACTGCTAACCAATACAAATACGACGGTTCTGCGACATGGCCTGCGAATAACTGAGCACGACCGTCTTATTGTTGAGTGTTGATAACTGGCGCATAATAGCATTTCTGATGATAGGTGACAGGTGTCTAATAGTATGTTACATGCATAGGTATCCACTGAGTTTGGTCGGTGTTATTAGCGTATTGACAATTATTCGCTTCGAAAACAGTTGGCTGACATCAATACGAGTATGGCCCCGCTTTATGCCATTCAAGGTAACAAATTTGTTTGTGTAATATTTCCAGTTTAAAAAAATGGATTCGCTGAACGGCCGGGTTGGCGCCAGACTCCAACTGCTAACTCTAAAAGCAAGATCAACTTTCAAGCCAAGTTAAATAGCATGTTTATTCACCAGGTGCATTTTGATCAATTGTTGAATCGTCAATGAGTGTGAAAATAAAGTCTCTTTCTTTTTCAAACAAACATTGTTTTATAACACTGCACTTGGCAGTAACTACACCACTTTTGCGATTAGATCAATGATTCGAAATACATTGAACAAAAGTATTGTATCAAAAAGTATTGTAAACAAACATTCCATTAAGTTAGATCCACCGTTGCAATACTGCACACTTAATCAGAAGTCGCCATTCGCAGCATATCCGATCCGGTTGTTTTTCTTTTTGCTGGTGCTGTTTGAGAGACCCATTAGTAACACAAACGAATATCTAACGTGGGCAGCTCGATATATGACAGTGTGTGTGTGTGTGTGTGTGTGTGTGTGCGTGTGTGGGTGTGTGTGTGTGTGTGTGTGTGTGTGTGTGTGTGTGTGTGTGTGTGTGTGTGTGTGTGTGTGTGTTTTCTGTCGATGATCAATATTGACATAACTCAGCCGGGCCGCACACCACTGGTATCGCACCCGGCAGGCGCCAGAGTACGCCGCAATGGCAAATGGGCGCCATTTCTGCCGCGGCAATGCCAGTGGAGCGTGTGCAATCGATTCCTAGCGTACGGGGAAAGTACCAGGATGTGTTTTGCTTTTCAAAGTATGAATTCAGAGGCGAAATTTCGAGACCCGTTATTTTCCTACCGGATACGCAAGATACGGAAAGCAGGCGCAATAAGCTTTCATTCCATTAAATTTTCTGCTTCTGCCAAAAATACGCGATATTTCATCGAAAGTCGGGAATTTTTAAGCTTAAAGGATGCAACACAAGGATATTTGTCAACATTAACCGATAATTTATCACCCTCGGTGTCGTGAGAAGCGAAATTCGTCTTAAAATATGATTCCTAGCATGCGCTTGCTCAACCTTTCTTCATCTGTCTATTTACTTGGCTCTTTTCCGCTACAATACCCCCATCAGTCTTATCTAAAGATAATGAAGCTCACACTCAGACAAATGTTTTTCGGCTTCGCTGTGAATAAATGTTCTTCGCTGTGAATGGAGCAGACATGCGGGCACGACTCGCTGCTCGAAAGGTAAACTGCTAAGGCGTCAATTTTATGTCATTTATCTTTCTCTTTCTCTAAAAATGTTTGAAAGGCGGCTTCAGATTGCTGCATTCGCTGCAAAAGGAAAACAGGTGCCACGAGAGAATGCCCTAATCTCTACAAGGCATCTACAAAAGCAATATCGGTAAGAGCGTCAGTCGGTACTTCGCTATTCTTTTGCTGCTAGTCTTGAATATACTATCTGACCACAGTTCACATTGGTGATATAATTGGATATTAATGATAATGTTGGTGTTCACAAGGCGTGATAAGCCTATTACGGATCTAATGAATAGTTAATTTTCGCTCCAGAAGCAGCTGGGATGCGGAAGAGGGCAGCATATTATTATGTACTGTGCTGGTGGCTTTGGCGTTAACATTCATAGCTTTTTTGTACCTTTGCCAGCAAACGTAAGCGCATTAAAAAGAGTTTCAAAGTTCAAACGTATAACAACATTATTAAGGCATTAATGATAAAGCAAAGTTTCGCTATGTATCTTATTGCCGTATCTAAAACAGACAGCTACAATACAGCTCAAAGTAATGTTGACTTAAAATTAGGCAATAACCGTAAATTGAGATTCTGAAACCTAGAAGTCATTAGTATTACTAAGTACATTCCATGAAATAAACAGAACTAAAAGCTCCAGACTACAGACTAAAATCGATGAAATTAAGCCAGACATTTTTCAGCTGCGAAAAGGCTTTAGCCATCAGTGATGGTGCGGAAATTGAACGCAACGCAGCAATCACTACATTTTATAGTCTAGCAAGCAGCTGCATAATGCTGTAATATGCGTGCGAGCGTTCACATTTGAATATCGATAAACGAAGAGTCGTATATTTCACAGCAGATTTTGACAGATGCTAAATTGCTTCCGCTTCAAATGATCATGCCCCCCCCCCCTGAATTCTTCTCTACCGATACGGGCAATGCCGTAAGCTTTTCAACAAAACTATGGATGAGAAACAATGGGCCCATGTCCACTAAGGTCACTTTGAATTTTGCCAAATTTCCCACTTCGACCTGTCCGTCATGGCACGAAATAGTTGTTGAAGGTAGCGGATCGGCCTAGGCCTACTGATGTGAAATAAGTAAAAACAAATCTCGGCCATCATTGTTGGCGTCATTATTGTCATCGTCATCGTCAATAAAATCATCTCGTGCTGTCATATTTGAGCAACATCCTCACGACTGACCTTGCGTTTGTTGTTGAGGAGCACGGCGTCACGCTGGTTGTCGGCGTTTCCTGGCACTCGGGATCCCCACATCTCACAGCCGACCCGGCAGTAGCAGAACGAGAGCACCACCAGAGGGATGAAGTACTGCGGGGGAGATAGGGGAGAGCGGGGGTCAGCTGGGAGTGGTAGCGGGGGTCAGCAGCCAGCAGGGAGTGGTAGCGGGGTTAACAAGGAGTGGGAGCGGGGGTTGATGGGGAGTTGGAGTGGGGTGCGAAGGGCTTGGGAGCGAGAGTTAGCGCGGGGAGTGGGAGAGCGCGGGTAGGCGGGGATGTGGGGGAGTGGGGGTCAGCAGCGAGATGGTAGAGCGGGGTCACCAGCGAGTTGGAATGGAGGTCAGCAGGGAGTTGGAGTTGGAGTAGTAGGGACTAGGGGCCATGCCGCCATCGGGTACTCTAACAGACTGTGGTAAAAGAACAAAACAACTCCTCCGGGACTGTATCCCGGGGAAGTTGGAGTGGCGGTCGTCGGTCACCCACCGACTTAGCAGAAGCTTTCGCGGATGAAGAACTATTGTTTAGAGAAGTGAGTGGATCACGAGCAAAGTAAGAGTTGTTGGAGAGTTTGCCAGCAGATTGCTGCGACAGAGATTAGTCAACACGGAATAAGAGATTAGTCAACACGATGGGGATTAGAGTTGCGAACTTCATCAACAGAGAGAATTAAGAGAGCGCGACATTCAGGATCAGTTTAGAGAAGGGCACACACTGGACATGTGACCACAGGAAGTCGGGAGGATCATCCGAACAAACCAATGAGCTCAAGATTTAGAAGAGGACATGAAAACAGTCCAACGGTAGTAGGGGTGGGGACAGAGAATAGGCGACTTTGTAGCCGCACATAGGAGTGATTTTTGCCATAAAAAGTTTCCTTAACCCCGCTATCACCAATATAGGGACCCTCCCACCTTCAAAAAAGTTTATGAATTGGCATGAAAGTGATGTCGCTCGGTTCAGAAAGAGCGAAAACGAATATCTACCAAATTTCACCGAAAAATATTCACCGGTTTTCAAGATATTATACTTTTACTTTTGATTACTTTTTTTGGGATCTCTAGCGACTTTATTTAACCCGCGCGGGGCTGGGGTCTCCAGCCGAACGCGCGGGGCTGGGGGGGGGGGTAAATTTTACCCCCCCCTGTTATCTCCCGAACTAATGGTCCGATTTGGAAAATTCAAACGCCAATCGAAAGCTCTCATCACGAACTACTAAAAACATGTACTTAATTTAAAGTTTGAGGTCAAGGTCAAGGTCAGGTCAAGGGTACAAATTGCAAGTTTCTACAGTATCGGCCTTGCACCGTAGTTGCCAAAGAATGGAGTCATGGACTGAGACTGATCGCCCAAAACGTTTTCATAGGCTACCAAGACAATATTAGTTGCATACAATATCATTCAGAGGTCAAGGTCAAGGTCAGGTCAGGTCAGGTCAGGTCACCAAAAAACAAAATATAGAAAAGGGCATGTGCGACACATGTTTTATGGGTCATTTTACTCATAGAATTCAATAGGCACACTTAATGAGTGATATGGACCACCTCTGGATGAATTTCAGGTCGAGGTCAGGTCAAGGTCAGGTCAAGTGAGGTCAAATTTTGAAGTTGGTTGTTAAGGCCTGAAAAGGTGTCTATCTGATGCAGTTTTTCACGGCGAATCGAATGGTGCTATTTTTGTTTCCGTACGAGGTCTAGAACTTCCAAAAAAGTCATTTTTCAAAAATTTTGTGTGTCGTGACGTCATAAAATTTTGAATAACTCCCACATTTTTGAACCGATTCTTCTAAAATTTGGTATGTAGGTGCACATAGACCACTTCTCTGACATATATTCCGGTTTTTTCGATAGACTCAAAATTTTGGATTTTATAATGATTTTCCCAAAAAAATCAGTTTTTTGAAAAAAATTAGGCCAAAATCCAAAATTTTCAAAAAACCGAGATAGCCATTTGATAGACAAAGTAAAATTACGTATATCCTTTTTTGTTACGTCTTGATTCCTTTAAAAATGAAGATGTTAGCGGCGTTTGAACTTTTGCCGTTTTTGAGGCGAAAATGGCGAACATGACGTCACTAAAACGTCAATTTCTCAAAAATTTTCTGACGAATTTCGCTCAAATTTTCAGGGAACGTGTCAAATTGATGTAAGAAAAGGTACTGAAAGTTTGGCGGCGCTGCGCGCCGCCGTTTTTGAGATATCGTAAAAATTCGCGAGGGGGGTAAAATTTACCCCCCCCCAGCCCCGCGCGGGTTAAGAAGTGCGGCGTTTGCAGCAGATGTTGCGCGCAAATAGCATATACCACCGCGTGCTACAAGACGTAAATATGCGCTACAAAACGTTTTAGTCAAACATTTAAAAATCGTTAGATATTTGCGCTGACGTCACACATTCAGAGGGGTATTCCTAAGCATTAGCCCCTCTGAATCAAAATGCTGCAATTTTGAAATTCAATATTTCCGATTTAAGGCATTTCTCGATGTTGTGAGTGCCGAAACCGGTAATTGTGAGCCAGGGACCCCATTTTGGCTATCTCAACTCAAATCTTATGTTAAGGTGGGAGGGTCCCTTTAACTTTGGCTTTTTTACAATAGTCAGACAATTTTATATTCCTTCTGGAAAGTGCTGTTCCACTCAGCACAGATTCAATCCAAATCCAGTGGTTGTAAACTCACGGTCCAGCCACGATAGCGCATATCGCGGAATCCTCGTTGAAGTTATATCCCCATGTGTTGCGTTATCGCACACGAAATGATCCCCGGACGAAAATGGTCATTCGAAATGCGGTAAAAATGTGTCGCTTTATCGGAGTGTTAACCACTGCTATTACATTAAATGTCATTACGCTCACCATCAAACAAGCTGTAAATGGCTCAGATCATTCACTAAATGGCAGCCTTTCGAGCTCAAAATAGACAGGAAACGGGCATCGACCGTCAGGCAGTGCGCCTATCTCCAGCATCCAACTATCAGGCAAGTAATTCGAGTTCACTGGCACGAGTTTGCACACCTGTTTACACTTGAACCGAGAATTACGGGGGCTGAGTTCTTTTGTAACACCGTACCTGGCAGCTAACTCTGGCGTAGAAATAGACGTTTCTTGAGATCCGGTCCACACCTTGGTAGTCGCAATACGGCTGAAAAAGAAGGAAACAATTCAGTTAGAATAGATATAAACGGATCACGCCGGGATAAAGTCGGGAAGCAGGATTTGAGACTTCAGATACCTAGCTATCAAGTAACATAAATGTCAGGGATATTTGTACAAATAGAGATGTCTGAATACCAACATAACAACATGAATGAGGATAAGGTATACGTTGATTCGAAGAGCCAGCCCAAGAGATGATTCTTATCCTTTGTATTATTCAGCAAGCTATGAGCAAAGACCTCTTACGAAACACCATTCAATCATGGGATCATAGCTAGCTGCCTCGTGCACAGGTGCCATTAAATCAAAACATAAACTAAATCGCCTTCCGAAACTCTACCATCATCATCTTTCAGACCAAAGGCACGGTCTCAGTAGGTACCTTCAAATTTCAAAGATTTATAGCCGGAAACAAAAAGTCAGAACCGCTACTTATACTAATACTAATAACCATCAAGCCCACCAATTTATTCCGAGCTTATCGTTGAAAATCTTTGAAAAATGACTGCAACGACGAGGTGCTTGTTTTAAGATACCACAATGTTTCTACGTCACTTGTAAACAGGCACGGACGCATAAATAAATAAAGTTTATTTATACGTCCGTGCCAATAAGACGTCGCAATCTATCTGTTGCCTAGCAAAGCACTGCGCGTTATAAGCATCCTCAGCGTCGCCAATGGCGCCATTTGCCAAGTCGCTCCACAAAATAACACAACGCGCAGTTACTCCATAGCATGGATCCATCAGTCGGTCTGAGCTGTTGCCCTGAGGTCGAAAATAACTGCGCCTTCAGAACGGTCTGAAGTAATAAAGTTGCCTCTGCGTGTGGCTGACGCGTCCATGACTACGCCGTTTAATCAAACCCAGTTCTCGACAGCCATCCACATCACTAAAGCAATAATTCAGCCCCGGCCTGGAAACTCATGCAGTTCGCAAAGTTGCGCAATTTTGTGGCCAATCTTTTGCAGACTAGCGCGCATATTTCAGCGGACGTCAGTCGAAGCCTCTAGGCGTGATAGGATTGGTGTTTTAGGCTCTGGCAGTTGCTGACAGGTCTTTACCATCAGGTCAAGGTTACTATTCGTCGTTGAGTGGTCTACCAATACGAGTAGCCTGCAGGCTACTCGTATCGTACATGTTAACTGCAGGTTAACATGTTAACTCGCTACTGCAAAATGTGAGTTGAACTTTCATGATGCGTCTGTTGCAATCTTGGCAAAGAGGCGGTGTCAGCTGAGTTGTGACATTAATCAAATCTGATTAATGATATTATATCGTACAAACGACTAATTCATGGATCGATCGCTTACTACATTGAGTTCACGATGTTCAGTTATTTAGGTATTGGAATTGGAGAGTCTGACAGTAAACAAATATTTCCTTCGTCACACTCACAACCCAAGACCAGAAATTCAGCTAATGGTTGATCTTCATCATCAGAAAAAAAAACATCCCACGCTTTCCACGAGGATGGCACAGCGAACTTTCTGACTCGAGTGCTTGCTGTTAACTGTTTACCACTTTTGTGTTACGGTAGCCTTAGACAGCAGACACCTTCATTTCCACGAAAGTCAGCCGTAACATTGCGACAGTCATCCATTGTGACGTCTTTTCTGACGCGTAGTGGTGGCTCTATTTATCAGTGTGATCTAATTTATCATATGATCCAGTGGCGGCGGAAGGTAATTTTGAATGGGGGTGCAAAGTTTTCTCAAGAGGCCCTTCTGGAAGCTTTGGGCCCCCTTCAGCTTTTTTTTGAGTGATTTTTTTATTGATTTATGAAAAACAAAGATTTTGGAAAACTAGCCCCATACACACAAGTTCTGTAAAAGGTTTGAAATTGCAGTGTACCTACCTGTCTCAAATAATGAAATCATATAAGGAAGCAAATGCAGCTAGTTTTTTATCGGCTAATCTTTTAGTCTAGCCACCACCCGCAGCGTCCCAACCACTTTTCTGGATCCGCAGAGGACCATTGAGGGCCCTACGAGACCGTTCCAAGAAGACCGTGTTTAGAAGCCCCTTGGAAACCGACCACATAGGGACTCCTCCAGAGACCTACATGACTCCCCAGACTGAATGAGCCCCCCGATCAGGGTCGGTCCCTTGAAAGTTGCTGAAAGTTTTCAGAAGGCAGAAAAGGCTCGAAAGTCTTTTGAGGGCTCTCAGAAACCGGCATCGGACCCCCAAAAAAGCCTGTATGGAGGCTTTCCAAAGCCGGGATGGAGGCCACAGGAGCCGATTTTTAGCCTAAAGAGCCGGTATGGAGGACTGAATAGAGGAAAGGGGTCTCAGTGGGGCCTTCAGGGGCAAACGTTTGAACCCCAAAAGTATGTGTGGGGTCTTAGAGGCAGGTAGACCCCTGGGGTATGCACGGGGTCCCAGGAGCTCGCGTGTGAGCCCTAATATTCGGCTGGCGGCTACTAGAACCAGCATGGGGATTCTTAGAAGCTGCTTAGACTCACATTTCATGGGTCATGAGTCCCAAGAGTCGATGTAGGGGCATAAAAGCCGGTGTAGGGCCCATGGCCCCACAAGTTCCGACATTGAGACTCTCAGAGGCCGGCGACGGGGCACCAATGAGCAGATAAAGTGCCTCAACAAGCCGACATGGGGCCTGAGAATCAGTGTGGAATTCTAGGAGCCTGCGTGAGCTCTCGGAGACCTTCGTATTTCGTAAGGTCCACAAAGGACGTTGGATCCTCTGAATCTGAACTCTGCGGGGCCCTCAGAGGCCAGCATGTCTCCTGGCACCTGCCTGCGTTGAGTTGAGACCCTCCGAGGCCGTCGTAGGGTTCTTCAGAGGCCAGCGTTGGCCCTTGAAACCTTCGTTAGGCCCTAGAAGCCGTCAAGAAGGCCCTCTGAAAAAAGAGGGCCCTCAGAGGTCAGCATGGCCCCTGGAGCCTGTCTGCATCGAGGCCCTCAGAGGCCGTCTTGGGGCCCTCAGTCGCCAGTGTGGGCCTTTGGAGCTTGCGTTGGGTCTTAGAGACCATCGTGAGAGCCCAGAGAGGTCGTCGTCAGGGCCCTCAGACCCTCAGGGACCGTCCTGGGGTCCTCAAAAGTTGTTGTGAGGGCCTTTAGAAGCCTTCGAGAGGATCATCAGAGGTCGTCATGAGGGTCCTCGGCCATATTGAGGGTCTTCATGGGCCCTCAGATACCTTTGCAGGGCTCTCAGAGGCCTTGGTAAGACCGCTAGAGGCCATCGTTGTTAGGGCCCTCAATAGACCGTTGCAGAGCCCTCAGATGCCAGCATAGCCCGTGCAGCCTGGTTGTGTTGAGGCCCTCAGAGGCCGTCGCTGGGCCGTCTGAAGCCAAATGGGCCCTCAGACTTGAGTTGGGTCTAGGGCCGTCACAAGGGCCCTCAGAGACTGTCATAGAGGCCCTCAGAGGCCAGTGGGGCCCCTGGAGTCCTGTGGGACCCTCAGCGGTCGTCATGAGAGCCCTTAGTGGTCGTTATAGGGCCCCCGGGGACAGAGTTCGTCGTGAGAGCCCTCAGAGATCATCGTAAGGACCCTCAGAGGCCGTCATAGGGGCCCTCAGAGGCCAGCGTGTCCCCTGGAGTCTCCTTGGGGCCCTGGAGTCTCTGTGGGGCCCTCAGCGGTCGTCATGAGGGCCTTAGTGGCCGTAGTAGGGCCCCAGGGGACAAAGCCCCCAGGTGGGAGCCCTCAGAGATCGTCATAAAAGGGCCCTCTGAGGCCGTCGTGGGGGCCCTCAGATGCCGCGTGGAGCAAACGCGGCTCGGGACACTTCTAGCCGGTGTGGGGGCCCCAAAGACTAGCATGGGGCGCTCCTGACCATAATTGGACATCCCGGATGATTCCACATCAGTGTTCGTTTCCCGATCACTGGTTTTCAGGAGAAATGTATTGGATGGTGCGACGGGCCCCTTGTACGGATTTTGGGGGTGCAAAAAGATATGTTTGCACCCCCATGTTTTTCGATGGGGGTGCAGCTGCACCCCCTGCACCCCCTATTCCGCCGCCACTGATATGATCTGATCCGTAGCGTTCAAAAGGTGCGTGGAAATGTCCAATGGTCGTCTGTGCCATTGTCGACTTCCGTGTCCAGTATAATGTCATCAGATGGGCAGTGACCCTTGGCGGGGACGAGAGAGAGAGAGAGAGAGAGAGAGAGAGAGAGAGAGAGAGAGAGAGAGAGAGAGAGAGAGAGAGAGAGAGAGAGAGAGAGAGAGAGAGAGAGAAGGAGGGAGGGAGGGAGGGAGAGAGAGAGAGGGAGGGAGGGAGAGAGAGAGAGAGAGGGGGGAGAGAGAGAGAGAGAGAGAGAGAGAGAGAGAGAGAGAGAGAGAGAGAGAGAGAGAGAGAGAGAGAGAGAGAGAGAGAGAGAGAGAGAGAGAGAGAGAGAATAGAAATAATCTTAGATTGATATCTGGGGGCAGCAGTTAGTTGGCAATGAACGGACACGCGAAACCCATTCAAATTCTACCTGATGGACCAAATATAGAGTTAGGAGAACGTCCGTTCCCCTTCCGCATGTTTCCTGATCAAGGAAGATTTTCTCTCACTATATTTAGAAAGGAGGTAAGCTTCTTTGCTCGCCATTTCTTTTTTTTCGCTCGGCCATATTTGTAACATTAAATATTTACCTAACAAATAAAAACGATGTATAGTCCCGTTGAAGCAAACGTTACGATGAGAGGACGCGTGCAACTGCATCATTATCAGCACTTAAGCGGATCATTACTTTCTAATTATCTCACCATAACTGATAAATATTCAGAGCTTTGAGAGCCTTTGATGAATAATTATCAAATTTTGAGTCATAATTTGATGGCCTATAAATTACTGAACACATCTTACGTAAATAACAAAGCGTCAACAACAAACAACTTTCCGCCTTCCGCTCACAATCCTGCACCAGTAAAATTCTCCCGCAGTTTGCTGTCAAAATTTCTGCTTCGTCACCGTTAATCCGCAGCTGGCGACATTCGCACCATCTGCCTCCTCGTGAGACGACAGCGTCCATT